AAAAAAAAAAATACACCTTCTGGAAGGTTCAAAGGTCATCACTGAATCAGAAAGCTGGTAGGCTGAGCCACGGAGTCTGGTTGGAAAATCTGACTGGCAGCCGAAGCAGAGAGGCTACAGGAAGGAATGGCTGGCTGTGTGCCAAGGAATTAACAAGGACTCAATTCTAAATAAGGTACAATCTGTCATTTCATTCGTTAGACAGTGTACTGCCTTTGAGGGATTTCTGGCAGCTGATTCTAGATGAAATCAACTTTCTTCACAATGGGAACAGAAAAAGAGGGTATTACACAGTTTCACACAAAGGAAAGAAAGATGTTTTTGTGATACTTCACATGCAGGGCTTTCAAAAGCAATTTCAAAATGAAAGACCAGAATCAGGGATCACTGTGAAGTCTGCGATTTCAGTATGAAATTTACCCACATGACTGCAGCAGCCCTACAACAACACATTGTGTGCAATCGGAACATAAAAAGGATGTGGAACACACTGGGAGTACCGGAAAAGGGCTCCCAAGAAGAATCCCTGGAGAACACCAAATCAGAAGAATTTCAGGAACGTATTTGGTCTTCTGCGTCAGCTATTTGCAGATCTCAGAATGACAAAACCTAACTTTCAGCGACAGAACATCAAATGAAGAAAATGCCCAGGGCCACAATCCTACGGTGTATTGTGCTCCCAATACAAACCTGCAACCTATAACCTCTTTGGCAAGATTGGCAAGAGCTCGAGTGCCTCCTTTCAGGGGGCAATGGGGTCGAGGGGTAAGGGTCATGTAAGGGGCTGGGAACACTGGTTTCTGGGTCTGGGCTCCTGGCCAGGTGCTTCACGTAGGCTCTGCAGCAGACAGCGCTACAGACGGTCGATATTAATAACCAGCAGCCCGTGCAGACATTCCTCCTTTCGCGCAGGAAGCGCTAGCCTGCCACAGAACCCTCTCCCATTCCCTACCGATGCACTGGCGCTGCCGTGAGCTCAGAGTCTCAACAACTACCTCAAAAACCGAAGGAGACAGCTCAGGAGGAGTCTCCCCCGTCACTGGCACGCATACGCTTGGAGCACAGCTGCTGATGAGCACGCAACCAGCTGACGGCAGCTTAGTGCGTTTATTTCCACGCCTGACTAATTGAAAAGGACAAACGCATGATTCCTCATCAGATAAAACCCTAACTAACATGTCTAGTGGTTAAATTAAACATACTTTATGGACAGATGGCACATCTTGGCTGAAGTCTCCCAGAAAGCAGTGGAGAATGAGCTGCTGCCCTTTATCAATTGACCAATTAGACTTAATTCAAAAAGCATTCGTTCCGTACTTTGGTGTTAACTATTTATTAGCTGAGCTTGCTCACTCACTGACTTGCCTTCATGGAGCCCTTTGACACAGTGCTTGCAAACAAGAAATGGACCATGAGCTGCCCCCCGCCAGCAACTGACTGCTCTCTGTGAAGCCAAGGGGCTCAGACAGCAGGGCTGCACAGCTCTGACCTCCAGGCCTGCTCTGATTCCATCCTCTTAGTGCCGTTTCCACGGCTCACAGGGCACTCTGCTAGTTAACTGAGGACTCCAAGAAGCAGATGTAGTTCAGTTAATACTTTTGTTGACACTGTTTACATTTTGCATATGTCGTGTTAACTGTGTGATCTGCATCAACGCTGCATGTCACTCAGTCATCCCTGTTCTTTGCTCAAGGCAATATTTTCTTAACGATCCAGTAGTTTCATTGCACAGGGAGTTATGTCTGAGCAATTCTACTGCAAACTACTCAATCAGAAGATTGAGAACAGGAGCTGTGATTTGCCCTGTCAGCAGCTGTAGATTTACAACTGACATGTAGCCTACAGCCCATGGGAGGTTGATATCCCTCTTGTCAGAACCTGCAGCCCCAGAACCAGAGAACCCCAGAGCCCAGAACCTGAGAACCCAAGAACCCCTGAGCCCAGAACCAGGGAACCCGAGAACCCCAGCACCCCTGATCCCCAGAACTTGAGAACCCAAGAACCCCAGTGCCCCAAAGATCTAAAACCCCAGCACCTTAGAGCTCCACTCACCTCCTTTGTTCTTGAAATATTCCGTGTCTTTCCACATCAGCGGGATGCGCAGATCTGAAAAGGGAATGACAGTGTCACAAAACTGTCCACACTCCGTCCCAAACACACCCCGACTAGCTAGACCCTGGCTGGCTCAAGACGTCCCATAACTGCTGCACGCCGAGTCAGCTTTACAGGCAACACGAGACACGCTGCCATTTATTTACTGCTCTTAAGTGTTTAATGAAGCGCTAAAAGGCTCAAGCTCAAACGTGTTTGAGCAACGGCTTTCCTGGGCATCATCTTTCAGG